TTTTTTAAAATCCAATGTGTGGATCACATAATATTTCAAAAATTTTAACTTTTGAGTATAGATGATCCACACTGTACACGGTTTTTGCTAGAAAACCCCCCATATATGAAAAGAAAATTTGAGATAAATTTTTTTTTAGATTAATAAACTCCCTTTTTAATGCTGAATTGAATGGTAGTAGATTTTTTAAAATCCAATGTGTGGGTCACATAATTTTAACTTTTGAGTATAGATGTTTGAAGGAAGAACAACCAATAAAAAGAATTGATGTGATCTGCACTGTATGTCGAAATTTTGGTAAACTTCCACACAATGCTGGTCGATTTTGAACCCTACATAGATTTATGTAAGATTTATTTTCAGCCATTTTGATGATTTGACTAAAGTAAAAAGCCTTGACGTAAAGTAAAACACTTGACATAAGTGAAAAGAAAAAACTTAACTAAAAAAGCAAGTAAATAAATAATATTATTATTTAGTTATAATTAATATATGTATATTATATTTATTGTGTTTAAATTGATATTTTATTAGCCTTCAAAGCAATTTACCAAAGAATTTTCACTTGTGCTACATGTGTAACGGCTGGTTTTTTTTTTCATAAATCAAATTTTTTATAATAGGAAGAAAGCATTTTACTTTCAAAGGTATTGGCGATTCGGTTATAAATTAGTATTACAATTAGTATTAGTGGAATGCAGATGTCGATCGTTTCACATATCTTATTTCCTTTAAATGAATATACTAATACATATATATTAATATCAATAATCTGACATAAAATTTGTTATTGTGACGCGCTTTTCATGAAAAGATGATATTTCACCATAAAGAGTTTGATGAAAAACTAATAAATACATTATTTGAAATTCTCTATGTACAGGAATGTTCTTTTTTATGAAAACTTTGCAAAAAGGGAAATTTAATTGTGGCTTAAATTTTTGTATATAGGAGTGCATTCAATAGTGATATGATGATGACATGTGATGATTAGAATTAGTGGGTTGGAGGTGGTAGGAATTACAGAGCATTTACCAACTCTAAAATTAAATCTTATTTGTTGTATAGGTGCTGTATACGTATTTCACAAAAAGAACCATTCTGTATATAGGTTTACCCATATATTTTCCATAATCGTGACAAAGGAACATGCTTATATTAACCAAAACATTCATCAAATGATCCAGGTTCGTTCTCAAAAGTATATGTACCCAATCCAAAAAATCTTATTATTTTCCTATTTAGCGCAAATGATTTCTAAACTCCGTCGTCATTATAATGTATTAACGATTGTAACAAACAAAACTTCCATCTGTTTTTTCTAAAACTAACTTTATTTGTCAAACGGATTGTTGTACTGTTTCATTAATGTTTCATTTTTTTTTCACGCGTAAAACAAGAAAATCTGCTTATGAAGAAAACCGATATAAATATGGACGTTGGATCATTAAAATCAAAAAACCAAAAAAATCAAAAAAATCAAAAAAATCAAAAAAATCAAAAAATCAGAAAAAATCAAAATCAAAATAAAAAAATCAATCAAAAATCACAATTAAAAATCGCCAATCAAAAAAAAAAATAGCAAGTATCAGACGAAAATGAGCCGTTCAATTCATCTTTTTATTTTTGGTTTCTTGTGCCTCTTGGCCTTCATCATCTCTAGCGTCTCTGCTGGTGTCTGCACTTCTGACCCCAACTGCGATTGCGAAGCAGCAAGCACCGCTGGCTGTGATCCAAACGGATGTATAGGTTCAGGTCTCCGCTGCGGCAGTGAATTAGGATGCAATCTTGGTAATGATATATATCAATGTTCTCCTGAGGGAAACTTCTGTCATATTGGTCCTTGCAAAAACGGCTGTGTATTTGGTAGTCCTAGCAGTCAATGTCAAAAATAAATGTCAATTAAAATTTTTTATTTTTCATTATTATATATTATTATTATTTTGTCATTTGTTGGTTATTTTTATTTTGATTAGGTTCTATGTTAATAATTTTATAGTAATTTACTATTTTTAAAATCAATAAAATAACAATTGTTTTTGAAACTTTTTTTTTCATCGACTTATGCTTACCACAATTTTGATAATGTAGGATTTAGGATTTATGACAATTTTTTAATGTCTTGTTCATAGATTATGCAAAATATTTTTCTATAATCTTAAAAGATGTAAATATTTCCAATTTGATTATATGATACGGTACTCCTAAATTTTGTATGACTTTTGAAAACATATAACTCAAGTACTTTAAAAGTTTAACTTCATAGATTGATAGATTAGCCCTCTAGCTTTAATGCAATGGAAAGATTTTGGGAAAAAAAATCATTTATTGTAAAGTTCTTATATTCAGAAAGAATTTCGCTGCGAAAATACTGACTAAATTCAAAGTAGATTGCGAGATTATTTCTAAGCTAATTCATTTACGTACGTGTTCAAATGAATTAGGATTTTAATTCTATATTTAAATGTAAAGTAATGCTTTAAAACTCCTCCTAAATATCAAAATAGTCTATTAAAAAAATGTAAAAGACTCTAAATCATCAAGATTTTGTTGATAACAACTCTTTAAACTTTAGAAGAAACAGTTTACGATTCAGTGATAATAATTGGTTCGGAAGATGAATCTGAATTACCATCTGACAACGAATTAAATGGTGAAATTTGGTATGATGATGCTTTTGATAATGATTTTAACTATCAAGTGTTTGACAAACTGCAAATTTGTCAAGTTCTAACTCAAGAAAATCTATTATTATTATTAAATAATTTTTTAAAATAATTACATGAATCATGTGGGTTCATTTTGGAAATTCTCTTAAAAAAATAATTTCATTATTTTTTTTTGGATAAATTACAAAATTTTGCACTGCAGCGCAGCAATAGGAGATTCCGCGTTATTACAAGCATAATATAATTGTTTGTGAAGATCATTACGGATTTTCAACACCCTTTATATGGAATATATTAAATAATCACGCAACTATCAAGGTTTATTATTATTATTATCGCAACTAATCCAATTATGGCATTACAATGATGATCATTTATTTATTATTAAGAAGGGCAATTATGGCAAACAACTATATTCTGCACCATACTATATTAATATTAATATAAATTATGCATGATTTCTTTTGGAGATGGCGTAAAATTTAATTGTTTCAGCTTTGTATTATCCATTATTTGAGGTTCAGAAGAAGACCAGATTCGGAACCGTTTAAAAATGGCTGTATAATGAATTTATGAAGTGTCACGAATAAAATTTCAATCTATAACGCTTACAATTTTTTTTATCTACAAATCAACTGTGTCTGTAATAAGTGACATCTTTGCTCCATTACGTAAATTTAAGTTACAATTTCTAGAATATCCACCAACAATGGACTTTTTAAAATTCAATCGGAAAAGGCAGATTACGAATGTCTTGTGAGTTTGTTAAAAGAAGTGAAAAATCGAGATCATAAACAGACAGCTCTCAATATTTGAATTGGTTGATAAGAATGTTAATGTGAATTATGTTTATAATCAAATGTATATTACTGCTTAAACTTTTGCCATCGAGCAGTCATCACTACTCATATAATATTTGGTTAGTCGGATATTTTGATTTTTTTCATTGATTGATTGATTGATTGACTGAATATAATAAATTATTCAATAACTGATTGATAATCAAATACCTCATGTAACCGAATCGAAACGAGATTTCCTACGCCATCTATTTGTTTATTTCTAAATCAATCATTTCATTTAAAATTGAAGAGCCTTCAGAGGAGAAAGTAATAAATAATACAATAATAATAAGAATGGAGGAGTCTTCTTACTAATTAATATTTACAACTTTATGAGAAATTTTAAAGGTAAATGTAAACCAATGGTTTGTTTTCTATTATTAAAAATTTATTTGAATAACAGTCAGACGCGATCGACATGTCTACTGTCATAGCTATGTAAAATTTTTGTGAAACACGTCAATTTTTACTATTAATAAAATCGAAAGAACTTTTTACTTGTCACTAGTACACCCACATGTAATTTTTAACAAGGAATGTGATATTTTGTACACACATTCTTTGAGATTTTATTTTATTCCTTGTAAAATTTTAGATATGGTTTCATAAAAAAACGATAAATAATTAGCAGTTAGAAGTTATACATTTTTAAATAAAATATTAATAAAATGAAAACTAATAATAAGTAGTTGATTATATAATTTTTTAATATTGTAATTATATTCTTACTAATAAACTTTACTTTTTGTTTATATATAAAATAGATATTGCAAGACTCATTAAAGGATACATATATATATGTTTTTAAATAATGAATGATAAGAATAGTCATAAAATGTTTGTTCCAATAATTACAACACTGCCTTAGAAAAATAAGGAATTAATGTATGTTGAGCACATTTTTAGTATTAATATTAAGAAAAATAGATGATATAAATAATGAAAATAAATTCTCTTTGTGATTTAATTTTTTTTTTTTTCTTCTAATTGTGTAATGTAATATTTATAATAACCATTCAAACAACGACTTGTATTTACAAAAATAGTCATATGTTTGCTTTATTACAATTTTCACAAAAATCATATGTTCATTTTATTACAATTTTTACAAAAACAAGTGTGATTTTTTATCGTACGATATTTTTATTTATCATTTATCACGTGATTTAGTTGTAACGCGATTAGTAACTATATTAATATTCAAAGTTTTTTATTATTAAAAAAAAAACCCCCAAAATTCGTCGCAACAAAATTCGTTGTGACAAGGGTTGACTGTAAAGCAGATTTATTTTTAATACTAAAAAAAAATGGATATTTTAATAAAACATCATCACAACTATTTAAAATCATTAAATTTATTAATAATAACTTACAATTTATTTTTATTATATAATTTCAATTTTTTGGTTTCTGGTCAATTATTAGATATACATAGTCAAAGTTCAATAGTGTTAAATGATAAACTCTATTATTTTGGAGGATATTCTGTCAGTTCAGGATATACAAACCAAATTATTTACCTAGATTTATCCACATCATTTTCACTTAATCAAACATTACCAATAAAACAAATTCTTCTAAAAACAGCAATACCTCTATTTATTAGTGCATCATTAGCATTAGGAGTTAATAATGACACACTTTATGTTATAGCTGGAGAAAGAATTCCAGCACCTGGTTCTACAGATTATGGATCTATGGTTTACTCAATAAATATAAATTCATTTGATACATGGACTCCAGAGACCCTAAATGGACAATTACAATTAAATAAAGTTGGTGAAACAAGATACACACAAGATAATAATGGAAACACATATATAGTCACTGAAGATAATCCAAATATATATAAATTCAATCCCAAAACTATGATATTTACAACCTTAACAACAAGTAATTATGGTCCATCTATATCATACATAAATTATTTTGATTGTCATGTATTGAATGATGAGAATATAATTTACCTTAATCTTTATGCAACTAAAGTAATATTATAATTTTTTTTTTTTTATTATTTAATTAAAATAAAAGGAATGAGAATATTATATTTTCTAATAATACATATTATATTTAGATATACTTGTATAATATTAGTCAAAATTCATGGTCTAATATTGTAAGCTATATAATCATCAGTAACAATATTTCAACTAAAAAGATATTAATAAATATTTTGTTATATTAGACAACAACTGGTGATATACCTTCTAGACGACTTGGACATTCTTCAGTATTAGGTAACTTAATTAATTTTATTTAATTAAATATATTTTTTTGATTTATATATACATATTTATTTGTTTTAGCACCTGATGGAAGGATAATTGTGTATGGTGGTACTTCAAAACCAGACAAAATAGTGATATTGGATGTAACAAAATCTCCCTTCCAATGGACAGTTCCAACAAATATTATTAATTATCCCAGCAATCTAATTGATAAACAACATTCTATCCATACCTCAAATTTATATAAAAATTACATGATAATCTCATTTGGTAACTTATGATAATAATCTTTGGAATTCATACATTTAAATATATTGTTTATTTATATTAATTATATATATATTTAATAATAAATAATAATAATAATAGGTTACACTATCGATGCTGGTATTAATGGTAATAAAATTAATGGCTATAAAAATATTTTATTATTAGATATTAGTGACAAATATAATTATAAATGGCTAAACACATTTGATCCTAGAATCATTACTAGCACTGTTAGTGAACCAACTACCACCAGTGCTGATCCTTCAACAGATACAACAACCAATAGTATTGCTGCTAATCCTTCAATAGATACAACCACCAACAGTGCAGCTGCTTATCAACAAACTACTGGTATAATTATTGGATCAGTTACATCTGGTGCAATATTCATCATTGCTTTTATTTCTATTCTTATCTTATATAGAAGAAAAAAGAAATCCAATGAAATGGTTAATAATGTTGTTGTTAGCGATGATGAAAAAGACAGAGAATTAAATCAACATACTCATAATGAAAAAAATGAAAATGAAATTACTAATAATATTGAAATCATTTCAAACAATGATAATAGCTACAAATATACCAATATTGACAGTAATACTGAAGCTGTAGTAGATATTAGTCATAAAGACATCATTGATGATGATAATAATATTAATATTTTGAATAATAATAATAGTAATAATGATAGTGATAATGATAATATTCAGAATGATCAGTTAATTACAATTAATGACAACAATAATCAGATTTCTATATCCAATTCCAGGAGCTCTAAAATAATTACTCATAAAGTAATTTTTCCATCTGGTGAAAAAGTTAATAAAATTTATCTATTAAATGATAATTAAATTTTTGAATGTAAATTTGTAAATTTATAAAT